AATGAATGCCAAGGTACAAAAATTATTTACCCCCAAAAATGTTCATATATTTTTTTTAAGATGGGACCACTCTATTTAAGTAGTTCCTAAGTCTCATATGTAGTCATGATCATTTATAATTTTGTTGGTAAGTGCTAAAATCCACACTAGTGTAACTTATCCAATTTTCCACATGGATTATACATGGAAATTCTTTTATTTTTCTTACCTTCCACTGATGCTCCTTGTTTAAACTTCTATGTGGAGAGCCATGTCCTTCAGATCATGGCTCTCCACAACTTTCTCTCTCGTGTGGCTCTTAACATTTTTTCCTCTTTACTAAGGCTCCTATGCTCCATTCCACCATCTATTCACACAAGCTCATTGAGTAGCTGGTTTACTGCCTTCCCCTGTCTCTCTTGCCCCCATTATGCTGCGTGAAGGCTTAGTTTTCCAAGCCTCCCTTCCTCATTGTGTCTAAGGAATTTCAGCTGATTCTGAGTATAAGAGTTCTATCTACTGCCATTTTGCTTACTCACTCAGGATACTCTAAATTCCATAGATTTTTATAGAACAACATTTCAGATGTCTCTGATTTTCTCCTCATCCATGGGGAGATTGTCCAGCATTCACTATCATATAAGAGGATGAATATCATATAGCAATCCAGCAACCTTTTTATTTTTTCTAACGAAATCTTTCCATTTCTCAGCACCTTGTTTAGTCATTGGAATGCTTCTTTCGCTAGAGTGATGTGTGTTTGGATCTCACTATCATATTATCCATCCTCTATAAGAACACCTGTCCTAGGTAAGACGATAAACTATGTCCAACAGCAAGGCCTCTGATCAGAAGTTTTTGTGGAGCGTGGAATCACATTTTAATTGCTGGTGTTCCCAGGCCCACCCTGATCCGGGGTGGTAGCACCTATTGGGGTCCCAGCTGTGGGCAAGCAATTGGCACCCAAACTTGTGTAAAAAAAATAGGTTTTAATACCAGAAATAATTTGTAAAAAAAAAAAAAAATTACCAACAATAATTATTATTGGAAATACTTAAAAAAAATACCCGCAATACAAACAGCTTTACATTAAAAAAAAAACAAAAAAACAAAAACATTACCAGCTATAGATTTCTTGATGAAAAAATATTCTCAGAAATAGATTTTTGAAGAAAAAAATATTCCCAGAAATAGATTTTTGAAAAAAAATATTACCAGCAATAAAAAATTTTGTCGGCGTTAAATAACCCATTAAGATTGATATGTCGTAAAACAAACAAACAACGATCTATTAAAATACTTCCCAGATATTTAAACTTCTGCACTGACTTGATGTTTATATCTCTAATTTGTAACTCACATTTTGGCTATTTTTTATTCTGATAACCATTCTTTCCGTCTTCTTTCTTGTTAGTCTTTTTTTTCTTGCTTTCTTCTACCAACATCACAAATATGGCAATAAAGATGAGGACAACAGTTCAAATAATGTAAGAAAAGAGTGTATGAATCTTATTGGGAATCAAGTACAGCTGGGATTCCCAGAGTGGGAATGTAAAAATTCCATGGGTGTGGTGATTTAAAAAAAAACAAAAAAAAAACATGGCAGGATGGCATTAGAACCAAGTAACATTTTCTTTTTGAGCAGGAGCTGTCTAGTTTTCACTTTCCACTCTTTATAGAGTCCAAAAGCATCCCAGCATCCTTGTGGGTAACAAATTATTTTCCACACTACAGCCTCTCTCCCACAGACAAAACATTGCAAGCCTTTTGCTGCTAGTCTTGATAGTTCGAAAGCATATCTGAGTCATTGTGGGACAAGAATTATTCTAAACACTGCTCTATCGGTACATTCATGGAAAAGTGCTCAGAAAAACTACATTCATTCATCATCCTCATTGTCATCCTTCAACCAACCATAGGGAGGTTGAAACTCCCTTTACAATCCCTTTCTACACTGTTTGGTCCTATATGGCTGTCCCCAGATCCCCAATGTCCAACCCTGAGTCCCAAGCTATTGTGTCTGGGAAAATCAATTTTCGTGAGAAGACACTACCAGAAGGATACCATAAGAGTAAGGATGAGACGATTTCTCTGTCCACTTAGAGACACGCAGACTGTAATCTTTTTTAAGAGAGATTGTTCTTAGTTCTTAAATTGTATTAAGCGTTGCATGGGATCTCCAACCAATGTTCTGGATTTTTCTAAGTAGATTCGTATATGTTCCATCCAGTTTTGGATCCAAGCATTGGGACTGATTCAATCAATGTTCGAAAACTTTGGTCTTTTAAGGAGGATGGAAGGTTCAAGCCCCGAATCTTGTTCCTTTAGTTACACTGACATCAGTAATGAAGTTGTTCATGATTAAATCAAGTATGAGTAAATATGCATATAAAGCAGTTACTTATCAAAATAGTTTGAGTTGGTTGTCTGTGTTGCAAGGAGAGTACTCTAAAATTTACATACATCAAGAAATTTATTGTTGGTCGGATTACCATTGGCAATCTCTTCCCACACGGTTCGGTTCTTCTATTGCTGTCCCCAGATCTCCAATGTACAACCTTGAGTCTCGATATATATATATACATACATATAAATAAATATATATAATTTACGGTGTTTCCAATGAAATTTTCTATGTTCCTTTTTCTAAGTAGATTTGTATATGTTCCATCCAGTTTCGGATCCAAGCATTAGGACTTCAATCAATGTTCGAAAGTTTTGGGCTTTTAAGGAGAATGGAACGTTCAAGTGCTGAATCTTGTCAAGTTTTCTTTCTTTCCTTTAGCTACACTGACGTCAGTAATGAATTTGCTCATGATTAAGTACCCATTTCTTTGTTTCCAGTGAAATTTTCTAGTTCCTTCATCCTCATCATATCATAATCACCATTCTTTGATTTCTCTATGGTTGGTTGGAAATCCATTGACAATCCCTTTCCACACTTGTCCTGTATTGCTGTCTCCAGATCCCCAATGTCCAACCCCGAGTCTCGAGCTATGGTGTCTGAGGAAAGTCAATTTTTGTGGGAAGACACTTCCAGAAGGATACCATAAGAGTAAGGATGAGATAATTTCTCTGTCCACTTCGTGACAGGCAGACTGTAATCATTTTTATTTGAGTTTAAGAGAGATTGGTCATAGTTCTTAAATTGTGTTAAGCATTGCATGGGATCTCCAACTGAAGCTCTGGATTTTTCTAAATAGATTTGTACATGTTCCATCCAGTCATACCTACCTTAGTTTCACTAGGTCTAACCTTCATGACTAGGGCCCACCATGATACACACATTGTAGCGAACCATCCTCATTCTCTCTCTATTCCATTGGTGAAAAGTAAGTTCCACTCGAGCAGCTTCTTCCTGTGAACCACCACTCTGTGGAACCAACTCCCAAGAAGATGTTTTTCTGATCATTACGATCTTAACTTGAACAGGTTATCTTCCCCACATAAACTGTGCCTGTTACTTTACAACCCTCTCCTCAAGTGGCTCCCAGGCCTTGTACAGGATGAACCTAATTGTTGAAAACTTTGAATGCATGTTTGTAACTTGCTGACATTATCTAGACAAGATGCACCACATGTCAGTCAGAGCAAACAGATGATGTCTTCAGAGACAGTTTATCGTCATACCCAGGACACTATGTCCACCAGCAAGGTCTATGATCATGAATTTTTGAGAAGTGTGGAACCACATCTTAATTGCTGGTGTTCCCAGGTCCACCCGGGGTTGCAGCATCTGTTAGGGTCCCAGCTATGGGCAAATAGTTAACCCCAAAACTGGGGTAAAAAGTGTAAAAATAGGTTTTAATACCAGGAATTCTTTGTAAAAAAATTATCAGCAATAAATTTTTGAAGAAAAAAAAACTATTACCAACAATACATTTTTGAAAAAAAAAAAAAATATTACCAACAATACGATTTGAAAAAAATATTAACAGCAATACATTTTTGATTAAAATTATTACCAGCAATACATTTTTGAAGGAAAAACTTATTACCAGAAATAGATTTTTGACAAAACAAAATATTACCAGCAATAAAAATTTTGTCGGCATTAAATAACACATTCAGGTTGATACGCCATAAAACAACAAACCTGAACTGGGGTGGTAGCAGTTTTTAGGGTCTCAGCTATTGGCAAATAGTTAACACCCAGACTTGGGTCAAAATACTATGAAAGTGTAAAAATAGGTTTTAATACCAGAAATACTTTGTAAAATAATTATTACCAGCAATAATTTTTTGAAGGAAAAATTATTATCAGTAATGCTTAAAAAAAAAAAAAAAAAAATTACCACTAATACAAACAGCTATACATTTTTTGAAGGAAAATATTCACAGAAATAAAAAAAATATTACTGGAAATACATTTTGAAAAAAAAAAAAAAAATATTACCAACAATAAAAATTATCGGCATTAAATTGAGGTTGATATGCCGTAAGACAAACCAAACTGCAAACCGGAATCTTTAGAAACCAACACTATAGGTTTGTAAGTTTAGTGATAAAGTCATGGATGTTCATTTGTTTTTAGATAAGTTTTCTTGAATTTGCAGTATACTGAATACCAAACAAGTGCATGAATAGAGTTCTAGATATCTAGCCTCGGATGACAGCGAGGAAAAATTTGGGAAGTATTGAAATAGAGTAACAGGAAATTGTGGTTTCATGCCTCCTCCTCAGACATTCATGCAAGATATATCACTGGTTACAAGCTGAATACCGTCTTTTCTCATTCATAATGTTGTATTTATATCTTGGATAATGGAAAGGAATTTTGCTAAAAGCTCTGGCCTCTCAGCTGTTAGTCTGTTGCTCTACCACTCTTGAAGGGAAAAAAATTATCTATGATCATTAACAATCTTGACCAACTGCTTATCTCTCTATTGCAGCTGATAGAGGTTAACTTTGGAAAATATCAGCTTCAAATGTCTTTATTTTTTTTTATTTTAATAGCAGATGATGTCTTCAAATTTCTAACAGCTCTCACCTGTCTTTTTTTTTTTACCTTTTCATTTCAGGTACTTATTATGCCCCTGAATTGGATACTCTAGAGAATTACAGACATTACATCGAAGGCTTACCCACTGTAGACCCTCCAGAAATATTTGGTATGCATGAAAATGCTAACATTTCTTACCAGGTATGTTTCTCTTATCCCACCCCACCTCAACCCAGCTGTGTGTCATTCTATCTTCCTAACTATAATTCCTTACACATTTAGCATAAGCTCCTACGATGGGTACAGAAAAGTTCTCAACCCAACCAAAAAGCCTTTCCAAAGCAAAAAAAAAAAAAAAATTGATTTCTGGTCATTTGAAGAAAATTTAGGAAATGGTTTGGGCTGAAAACCTTTCAGCACTATTTCATAATGTTATTAAATTTTTTATAAATTCTCCTTTGAATCTAACTTAAAGAAATGGAAAAAATATTCTAACCTCCTAATCACAGATATGTATTCTTTTTTTTAAATACTAAAGTTCACTCAATACAAGGCTCTAGAGCCACTCTAGGTAGAGAGTTACTGAATCATGCCTGTGAAATGAATGTAGGAGGAAGTGAAGGCTATAAAGATAATCTGCTATTTGTTCGTGCATTGAATACTGTTGCCATATTTGGTCTGGTGCTTCTGCTGTACATCTTGTTGTCCCGGGTATGACGATAAACTACATCTGCATCCTGGGTAAGAAGGTAAACAACGTACAACAGCAAGGCCGCTGATCACGATGTTTTGAGGAGTGTGGAACCACCTCTTAATTGCTGGTGTTCCTAGGTCCACCCTGACCTGGGGTGGTAGCACCTGTTAGAGTCCCAGCTATGGGCAAATAGTTAACACCCAAACTTGTGTAAAAATTGGTTTTAATACCAGAAATATTTTGTAATAAAAAAAATTATTACCAGCAATAATTTTTGAAGAAAAAATTATTATCAGCAATACTTAAAAAAAAAAAAAAAATACCAGCAATACAAACAGCTATACATTCTTTGAAAAAAAATATGACAAGCTATAGATTTCTACAAGAAAAAATATTCCCAGAAATAGATTTTTGAAGAAAAACATTACCAGCAATAAAAATTTTGTCGGCATTAAATAACCCATTGAGGTTAATATGCTGCAAAACAAACCAAACTTGACTAAATCCGCAGAAAGATCTGTAATGCAATCAATCCTGATGAGGCATCTCAACTTCTGTCATTTTCTCACTGATATGGCTTCCCTCTGTCTTTTCTTCAAATATTTTCATGACAACTGCTCTGACAAGCTTTTATCCCCAGTGTCCTAACTGCATGAATTTAAGTGTGCTACTAGATTGGCATCTAGGTCCCACTCACTTAATGTTGAAATAGCTAAATGCAACTGCCACTCCAACAGTTTCTTTTCTCGCACTTCCCACCTGTGGAACACCCTTCCATTTACTTGCTTCCTTGATAACTACAATCTTCAAAAATTTAAATGCAACATCAATCACCATCTTAAATCCTGTCCATCTTTTGTCCTTTCCTCAATCCTCCCTAATTTTCAGTCATCTCTTTCACTTTCACTCCCTGTAACGCCTTGCATGGAATTCTTGCCTTGCTTGGGATGAAATGATTAAAAAATATATAAAAAAAGAAGGAATATGTACAACAACTGACAATTGATTTAAGATATTAAATAAGTTAGTTAAAAGGGGAGGTAGAGAAAGAACAAGTCACAGGACGAGCCAATATAAATTGTTTGTGTTTTTTTTGTGTATATATATGTGTTTGTGTATGTATGTATATATATATATATATATGTGTGTGCGTGTGTGTGTGTATAAATATATATATATATATATATATATATATATATATATATATATATATATATATATATATATCAATACAACTATGCATACCTAATCTATAACATCGAATAGCCCAAGTGAAGTCTTGATTGGTTGTTTGTCTACTGGGGCAACCTATATAATTCATGTGTCTAAAGCTAGTGGCAAATTTTTGTTCTAGGTGCGGGCGAATACTGATCATATTTGGTCGGGTCGCCCATCGAAGAAGTCTGTTGTTTATTTAGACCCAGAACTTCTAGTGACATGGGCGCAACAACACTGACGACGCATCTAGATTCAGCACTTAAAGGTGTATTTTAATAATAATATCGTTCAAGGAAACTGCCATATGGGATCTTGTTCCACAGAGTTTTTTTGTGCAGAAATGGTCTGAGAAATACATCCTCCTTACAGTTGGAACATGGGGGAAATGCAGATGATTCAACTTCCTGGATGTAATATGGCAAGTCTTTGTTATAAATGTCTGAACTGGTAGAACTAAAGATTGGAGCCAATTTAGCTTTATACCACAGACATAGCAATAAGCTTGCAATGTTGCGACTGTGAGAAAGAGGCTGTAGAGTGGAAAATAAATAATCTCTTACAAGACTACATAAATGATTTTAAACTATCATGGTTAAAAAGTGGGGACTTGGCAGCTTCATTAATTCTCCATTTTTGGTCTAATCTGACTCTTGTAAAGATAAAGAAGGAGTCTGGTACACTTCCAGAGAAGTAGAATAACCTGACTATATTTTAAGCATTTTTAACTAAGCTATTGTCTTAGATGGGACCTCTATAGCTTATTTCACTCACTAACCAAATAATCTTTCTACAAAGAGAAAAGGATGCAAGAGAAATTCTCTTACTTCTTTAACATTTCTATATAAAGAACATTTTCAGCAAGACATCAATTTTCTAAAGTTCTTTTTGCTGTTATACTAAGTCCACTTGAATTTCCTACTCTGGGGACAGTTATGTAGCTCTGACTGTGAGAGAAACATTTGAATAATCTTTTAATTTTTATAATATTAATAATAATATAAAGTAAATTTGCAAACTTACGATATTTTCACTCATTTCAACAATTCAGTACAGTTTTAAGAAAACCTAATTAAATAGATTATTTTGATTTATTTAGATAATTCCATAAGTTTTTTCAGCTATTTAACTTATTTGCAGTAATATGAAATATCAGATGACAACAATGCTTATTAATACGAAAGCTGTAGACTTTATAACTTGTGACAAAGTTTTGACAAGGCAGATATAAATTCTTTCTACACAAACACAATGAATTAAAAATACTTTAACAAAAACATTATGTATATATGATAATTTTTTTTTTATAATTGAATTACAAATAAATAACACAGGTGAAATATTCATTAAAATGTGTTTTTAAAATAATTTATGCGTATGAAATATTACCACTTATGTCGCAAGCACCATGTATTAGGAATTTTTATTTTATTTAAAATTTTTAACCTGTCATTTCTGATTATGATTTGATTTTTCACAAGGTTTTTATATTATTCAAGAAAACATATCTAAATAAAAATATGCTGCCTAAATATACATATTTTAAATTACATGATCCAACAGCTCATCACGATACCAGCAATTGGCAATTTAAGAATAAACTTGTATAAGTTGTCATTGAAGTTCTTTTTTATTCCTCTAACATTTCTGTATAAACATTTTCAGCAAGTAAAGTTCTTTTTGTTATTAGACTAAGTCCATTTAAATTTCCTACTCTGTGGATAGTTACATAGATCTGATCATGAGAGAAACAAGTCAATAATTTTATGATGTTTGTATTAATAATAATAAATTCGACATATATGCCTTATTATTCAAAACAGAACATAAATCTTGATTGTTATACTCATAATGCTTTGGCCTTTAGTTAAAACATATCTGGTTCCTTATCAGTTGGGAATTCAATCCTTGGGTCTGTTAGCGCTGAAAAGTTACATTCTCTGGTTTAGTGGAAGACATAGAACACTTCTTAAATAGAAATGTGAAAATAAAATAAAAAAAGAGGGAAAAGATTTTATGGTGCATAATTTTTGGATAATCAATCAATTTAATTATTTTAACTAATTTAGATACTTCCATATATATATATTATATATATATATATATATATATATATATATTACTCTATTTTACTAATTTGTAGTAATATGAAATATCAGATGACAACAATGCTTATTAATATGAATGCTGTAGGTTTTCTTGCAACTTCAGAGGTGTCAGGTAACTCTTACTCCAAATGTGTATTTTTAATTAAAAATTTGTCTTTATGCCAAGCTCAGTTCTCTTATGGAACAGCTGGACACAAATTTGTTGTAGGACTGTGAATTTTTCAGTCAGGCACAAATCACTGCTCTGTTTTATGGACTTGATTTGGACAGTACTTTCCATGTGATGGTAGGTAACTCTGAAGATTCATGGTGCTACTGGGAGTGAAAGAGAAATGAAAAAACTTTAGAAGAAACCAGAAACACAATCCTAAATGGGAAACAAGGGATAAACCTCTTCTCCAGTTCAAAAGACCAGAGAGGAGTGTGAACTGGATGATAAGGAAACCTACCTACTCTTACTGAGGTAAAAAAAAAAAAAAATAGTAAATAAAATTTCAGAATTTAGGCAGAAATATTAAAATATAGGATTGAAGTAGACCTTAAACGAAACGGGAAACCCAATACTAAACAAGAAACAAGGGATAAGCCTCTACACCTGTTCAAAAGATTGGAGAGAAGTGTGAACTGGATGATAGGTGATTTATCTAAACCTATTGTGCAAATAAAAAACAAACAAATAGTAAATATATTGTGCTAGTTCTATGTTAATTTGGGACTAACATGAATATGAATGAAAACTATCAACATTTAATAAAGTTATTTAAGTTTAAAGACATGGATACCATGATTAACATGAACACAATGTTCTTTCCTATATATAGAGAATATATCAAGCAACATTACCCATCTGGTGGAGTGAAATAGGTGCCAAACAACTTGTACCTTTAAACCCTTGGTAACTGGTACCGTGGCAGCAGAGAGAAGTCCTTGCTTCAGAGTAGGTCTGAATCTCTTTTCCTCATGGTCAGTTTTTTTCCAAACCCACGTGGTTTAATTAACCAATGAGAGACTGCCTCATATCATATCTATATATATGGAAGAAGACAAATTTTACAGACCCAACAGATATATAAAAGCTGGTAAACATTCATTATGTGTTAAGTGCAATCACTATTCCAGAGAGTCAAGTTGATCAGACTATTCATCTCCTTTTCTTTTTATTACAATAACTTGACTGATCAATT